TATATATATATATATATATATATATATATACGTCAGGTTGAAGCCTTCTGCCGCAATCCAACTTTTTTTTCAAAATATCCAATCGCAGCACGGTTTTAAGGCTCGAGACATTCTTTTGAAGAGATTTGTCACTGAGCCTTTAAATTAGAAACTTGTGCTTTTTTGAAATTTCAGGCAATCGAAAAAATGGAAAAATTACGATTGACTTACGAGCAGCAACTGGAATTTTTGCGATTTAAGCTTTCAGAGCTCAAAGGCGTACAGGTGAGTCGAGTAAATCACCGATACGCGGATGAACCATCTCGCAACCCGTGTAGTCCACTTTGGACTACACTATTTATTACTGGCACAAAATAAACACCGTAAAATGACATCGAGGAAGGCAATGAAGTCATTCGTTCCACAGAAAGCACATTCGAATTTATCTCCAGGAAAGTGTTTTCTTTGAGACTTTTCAGTGCAAAAAACGATGTCCTAACTAATGACGCAGCCCGTTGCAGCACGGCTCTAACAGTGAAATGGATTGAGTCACGTGATTCTCACATGCTCATTGTCCGGTGGAGCTTACCACAGGTTTGTGTTCAAGTACAGTTAGTCCCAGATCAGAACGATAAAAAGAACCTGGGATGTTCGAACAATAAAAACGATTTGAAAACGACAAACGGTTTGGACAGAAAAATTGAAAAAGTTAGACCAAACAGGGTTAATTAGGTAGACCTTGTTCCAGACAGACAAAAAGCCGTTTGGAAGTACTTTTCGTTACAAACACAGAACTGTTTATGCTGGATTGGAGCTCGGTTTCCAAACACTGGTCAAAGTTTTTCCATGTCACTACTTACAGATTGACTAACGACCATTTTCGATTTTCTAGCGCTCGTTACACGGGCCTAGTTGCGGAATTTTCCTCAGGCGTTTCGTCTGAACAAATATCAGCATGAGATTGTGCGCAGACAAACACTATTTTGCAAATAAAATCGGTTAGCAGTGACTTAGATGCACAGAGATAAACTGTTTACAATATTTCCAGCTGGTTATGCTGCAAAAAAAAGCTAAAAACAAATAGACGAAATATACTACTCATAAGGTTTCTGAGAAGTCTTCGACAGTCCACAACCGGCCTTACCCCTCTTGGGGCTCATCAGGTGGCTGCAGTCCCTCAGCTTTCGCCAACCTTATACTCTACCCAACCCCAAATTGTACGAGATTGGCGAAATACACTCATTCGCAAACTAATTTGATTTTTGCGAGATGCTCACCTGGAACCAAGCTGAATCTCTCGTTTATGATGTCTACATATTTGAATCACGATATCTCGAATATCGTAGCAACTGAAACATGAGGCAGCCTGGTGCAGCACGTTCTGTTCCTTAGAAACAACATAAGCGAGAGATTCAGCCGGGTTCCAGGTGAGTCTCCCGCAAATGAGTGTATATTCGCTAAAAATATCTTCACACAGATCCAATCTGCTGTTCGGTTGACTGGAATCGCGAGACTGAGCTAACCTGATAATCATCAATGAGAATTCCATCCAAACAGTGAGGCCACTGAATGCTGGATAGAAGCATCGTACAGATGTTTCAACCCTACTAGGAATCACCAGCATTGCGCATCTCATGAAAGTTCTGTAAGGAGTTTCGAACCCACAGTTTTTTGGTTAGCAAGTGAACACTTAACCGTTCGGGCATGAGCAGCGGATCAACTGTGTGATTAGCTATCATCGGCAAAGGCGAAACCAACCAAACTCCATCTGGTAGTTTTCATTGGCCATTTAAATAGTGTCCTATAAGGAAGGTCATAGTCCTGAAAGCAACCACCGAATGCCCGAAACCTACTGAGACTCTCGGCCCTGCTAGATGTCGACCAGACAGACAACGCGCCCTCAACAGGCAAAGCATCACAGTCTTGTATCAAACCCAGACAGTGCGAGTCAGGGTTGATTAAGGTCAGACAACGCCCCCGCAATACGCAGCGCGTCACAGCCCCGTACCAAAGTCAGACCGCGTGCGTCAGCGTGACTTTCCAATAACTATCTTGGGAACGTTGTATTTTCGCACTCGCTCGCACTCACGCTTCTCACTCACGCTTCTCACTCACGCTTCGCACTCACGCTTCTCACTCACGCTTCGCACTCACGCTTCTCACTCACGCTTCGCACTCACGCTTCTCACTCACGCTTCGCACTCACGCTTCTCACTCACGCTTCGCACTCACGCTTCTCACTCACGCTTCTCACTCACGCTTCTCACTCACGCTTCGCACTCACACTTCTCACTCACGCTTCGCACACTCACCTTCCACTCGCTTGTTCGGATCACAGCCGTTGTGTTCCTTTCTGTGATTTTTTCTGGCATTAGGCACTGCAGCAGGTCAGCAGACAACAGATTGGCGAATTCGCATACATATATTTTTCTCATCAAGAGAAAATTCCCCTGCTATCTTGATTGCCACTGGAACTAGAGCGTGAGGTGGCAGATTCGTTCAGTTGGCTCGCTAGTTCAACTGTGATTATGGTGTCCCAAAGGTCGTCAGCAAGACAAATAGGTTTTTTCACACATGTCTGGTCACGACTGTCTTTCAGGGTCAGGTCTATTCTACAACAAACTTCTGGCAACAACTTTTCGGCCACCAAAACTCAGTTCATGCTGTACCAAGATGTACTTTAACGTGACTACACAACAAGAACGAAACTTATTGGCTGGTCCGTTTCTTTGAGCGCGTTCTCAAATGTCCAAAACACCTGGAACTCTCACACACATATCCACTCACTTCTCGTTCGAACGGTCCTCCTTCCACTCCAGTCCAATTTTTCTGGTTGGTTATGAAGCTTTGAACTCGAGTTTTGTTTTTCCTGGTATGTATTCTTGGTCATGCTGTGACTGAACCGCAGACGTTTGACACACAGGGCAAGGTGGTCACGACTACTTCACGACCAACCTCGTTTTCACATCTAATCTAGGCTTGAGCAATGTGAAATCCAATTCTCGATGCTAAACTACAAAACTATACTCTCAATTCGATTTTTTCAGCAAACACATCTCGCAGCTCTGAAGGCTTTTGTCAACATCCAGACAAAGTACTTCACCAAGTGCAAGATTCACTCGGAAGAGACGGCATCGTTGTTGGAGCAGCTGGGTACGAATGAACCCAAGTCTTCCACTACTTGATCTGACGTGTGGATTTCTTCATCGAAGCTCGTTGTCTGGTTCGCAGTGAACACGGCCGTCTTGCGTTTCTTTATCCATTTTGGTTTGGGCTATGTTCTAACAATCATACCTGTCATTCGAATAACGGTAGTTCTGCGATTCGGACTGCTTGGTTGAAATCGGTGCAAAACACAACGGGGTCATATGGATTAGTGAGAGATGAACACGCGTTTGTAACGTTTTTCGGGCTGATACGATTGCATCCATGATTTGTGATAACCTAGAGCTTCTGAATTCGTTTTGTTTGAATCAGCACAAAGCGTATCGCCGCAAGCGATTTAATGTGAACTTTGAGGGTGGGGCGAGGTGGCTCAAGTGGTTAGAGAGCGGTTTCGCTGCCCAGGTCTGTGGTTTGAACCCGACCTCTGCCTCTCGACGTCCCCTGTATAGGCTTGGGCAAACTGACAGTATCCCAGCCCTCGTGCTTCCTTTTGGTGGCATGGCAGTTAGGCACCGATAGGGTGCTACAACTAAACGACGATGATGATGATGATGATGAACTTTGGAGGTTAGTTATTGATTTGTGTGAGATTGACGTACGCACTAACTTTCATTTAACTTTGCCTATCCCCCACGTTAGAGATTGCAGTTTTCAGACATACTAACGGGAAGACTGATTGTAAGTCTGCTTAGCTCTATTCACGCTCACATGCCGGAAAATCCGCCTTAGCTTGCGGAGCTAAACAGTTTCGGTTATAGAATATCATCTCGTGAAAACCATATTGATTTTCAAATGAGTGTATTTCTCGAAAACAGTCCAATTTGGGTTCAAGTGGAACATAGGGTTGATGGAAACTCGGGGACTGCGCCTACCTGATGACCCCCAAGAAGGGCGAAACCGGTCGTGGGCTGTCGACGAATTTTCAGCAACCTTGTGAGTAGTTTCCCTTATGAAAATTTCGGAAATAGTTTTATTCAGTAGTGAAGTGTGAATGGGAAATTTGAGGGTGCACAATCGTTTTGAATCGTCCACGATTAGCTAGTCACTTGTCATACGTTGTATCATCGAGAACCGGGAAGATATTTTCACATTCTTTTTCATTTTTTGTAAAAGCTTGGCGTAGTATGTGAACAAACCAGCTGAGATTGAGGCGGATTTCTCTGATTAGCAATGTGGGTTTTTGCTACATCACCGACCAGGTGCGTATCCCTTGATTTTATCAGGTTGCATGACTTAGGGGGGCAGCAAATAGTTTAAGCGCTGGTTAGCGAATAGTCGTTACACAGCCCTCCAAGTTCAAGGTAGGATAAACTACATGCGTAAAACCTAATGCATAGTTTTGAACTACAGGGTGACCTAAGTGTACGAGAACAAGGATAGCCTATCTCGTGGACCACATGTGTGGACTCTGTGATGACAACCCGACAACACCTGCTTGAGGTAAATTCGATTACTATTCACTCGGTGACGCATATGAACAAATTCGATCAACCTACACAAAGGGTTTACAGGTCAGATTGCTCACAAGGGGGCGACAGGCAAGTAGACCTACCGCTTGGTGACGCGTTGTCTCTGCGGTACAGCGTATAGTGTCAACATTTCGTTGACCAGCAACCTCAAAAACTGACCCAATGGTGGCCAGCAATCACGAATGACGCGCAAAACTCCAAAAATCAATTTGTTCAAATGGGGTTTATCGTCATTCACAGAATAAATACTATTCTGTGAGGAGAAAACGGTACAAACTTCAAATTGTGGGATCTTGTCGCCTCCTATGAACCGCACTTAGTAAAGCTAGTTCACATAGACCACGTGGGACACAACTTACCTACCCACTGTTCCCATCCACTCAAGGAGAACTGAAAACAAAATGACGCGTAGATCACGTGGCAGGCGCACGATTAAAAGTCAACGAGTGCTTGATGTTCATATCGGAACCATAAGACTGGTAATCCTGCTGTACATGATGAGGATAGAAAAAACTAATATCCCTTCCCTAAATTTCGATAATCTATATGCTTCACCCATCACACTCAAGCAAGGAGACTGATTAGAATGGTCGATCTGCGCCAACCATCCCTCAATCCGTGATATGCACCCAGGGTGAACGAGCACTTAGTGACCTTTACTCCTTTCACCAGACATGCTCACCGCATATAGTCCTCACTAACACCTTTATAACCTCCCTCTTGGAGACGGCTTCTTTTCACCCAGTGGCCATGAGTTCGTGCTCTGCTTGGCTTGCACCTTTCTAGAAATCAAAACGAATGTTACTATCTGTTGGGTGGCACGTTGGTTCGGCAGTCCCGAACATCGAAAGAAACTATTGCATTTGACAGTCTATGGTACATTTTACAAAATGGTAAGCAAAGTTATACAACAGACCTCATCTGTTCACATCCGTAGCGTCAACAAGTGCACAAGCCTGTCAGTGACCGGCGCAGAGACGTGTCACCAAACGACCGCTAGCGGAATGGTGGCTCGGTGGTGTGGGTTGGGGTCATTCCTTCCAAAGGAGTGTCTCGTGATTNGACGGAAACTCGAAGACCGCGCCCACCTGATGAGCCCCAAGACAGACGAAACCGGTCGTGGGCTGTCGAAGAGTTTTCAGCAACCTTGTGAGTAGCTTCCCTTATGAAAATGTTTCGGAAATAGTTTTATTCAGTAGTGAAGTGTGAAAAGGAAATTTGAGGGTCCACAGTCGTTTTGAAATGTCCAAGACCAGCGAGTCACTTGTCATACGTTGTATCATCGAAAACCAGGAAGATGTTTTCACGTCTCTTTCATTTTTCGTAAAACCTTCGCGTTTGGTAGGAACAACCCAGCTGAGATTGAGGTGGATTAGCAAAGTGGGTGTTTGCTACATCACCGACCACGTGGGTATCACTTGATTTTATCAGACTGTATGTCTCAGGAGGCCAGTAAATAGTTTAATCGTCGGTTAGCGAGTAATCGCTAAACTGCCCTCCAAGGTCACATTAGAATAAACTGCATGTGCAAAAACTAGTGCATAGTTTTGAACTGTAAATCGGCCTAACTGAACGAAAACAAGGATAGCCTATTTCGTGCGAACTATGTGCTGACAACCCGACAACACCTGCTTGAGGTAAATTCGACTACTATTCACTCGGTGACGCATATGAACAAATCCGGTCAACCTACACACAAAGGGTTTACAGGTCAGGTTGCTCACAAGAGGGCGACAGGCAAGAAGACCTACCGCTTGGTGTGGCGTTGTCTCTACGGGACACGGATAGTCTTCAACATTTCGTCGACCAAGAACCTTAGAAATTAACCCGATAGTACCCAGCAATCACGAATCACGCTCGCAACTCAAAAAATCAAATTGTTCAAATGGGGTTTATCGTCATTCACAGAATGAATGCAATGCTGCGAGGATAAAACGGCACAAACTTAAAATTGTGGGGTCTTGTTGGCTTCAATCAGCCGTAATTGATAACCCTAGTTTACATAGACCAAGTGGGACACAATACACCTACCCAATGTTCCCACCCACTCAAGTAGAACTGAAAACCAAATGACGCGTAGATCACGTGGCGGGCGCGCGGTTAAAATTCAACGGGTGCTTGACATTCACGTCGGAGCCACAAGACTGGTAATCCTGCTGTACATGATTAGCATAGAAAAAAACTAATATCCCTTCCCTGAATTTCGATAATCTATCTGCTCCACCCATCACACGCAAGCAAGGAGACTGATTAGAATGGTGGATCCTCGCCAACCATCCCTCAATCCGTGATATGCACCCAGGGTGAACGAGCATCTAGTGATTTTTACTCCTCTCAGAAGACATACTCGTCGCATACAGTCCTCTCCTTCATAGCTGTCCCACTTGGAAACGGCTTCTTTTCATCCAGTGGCCGTGACTTCGTACTCTGCCTGGCTTGCTCCTTTCTAGAAATCAAAACGAATGTTACTATCTGTTGGGTGGCACATAGGTTTGACAGTCCCGAACATCAAAAGAAACCATTGGATTTGAAAGTCTACGGTACGGTTTACAAAATGGGAAGCAAAGTTATACAACAGACCTCATCTGTTCACGTCCGTAGCGTCAACAAGTGCACAAGCCTGTCAGTGACCGGCGCAGCGACGTGTCACCAAACGACCGCTAGCGGAATGGTGGCTCGGTGGTGTGGGTTGGGGTCATTCCTTCCAAAGGAGTGTCTCGTGATTTTGATTGGCGATACGACCACATGGAACTCATGACTACACATGTCAGGGCAGGGTGAGTTGAGAAGGAGAACGAACGAATACACCCATGACAGTACACAAGTGTCTGATGGTTTGCCCTCTCAGGCAGGGTGAATGCTTGTTACAGATGAGCGAAACAAGTAGAGATCAAAAGTCCGCAGGTGGAGTAAGCAAACAGTTGGAAGAATTATCAGGACGCCAAGATAGATTCAACAAAAGCATACCGAGTACATTTAACATGACGGAAAATCGAGGCCAACGAGTTTAGTGTGAACGCTGACATACATGCTCACTCGCACCGGTATAAAGGTGTTTGTCCCCTGATAGCATTCAAACCCGCTTCACGGGACAACCAACAGATGACTTTGAGGAAGGCCTAGGTAGAGATATTCCGTGTGTAGACATTTGTTTTGCCTAAGACTTCCGTCTGGAATGTTGGCGTTGTTCATGTTTCGTTACGGCTGCAGACATTTAGTTTTGCCTACTGTTAATTGGTCAGTAGTGTATTTCTGGTGGTATTCTGCAGTATCCTTATAGCCGACGGTGGAGCTCTGGATGCACCACAGATAGACTTTCATTCCATCGCATGCAAGTTTGAGTTCTGAACAGTTTCTGATGGAACGCATTCACTCCATTAGTATGTGGTGCACGCACCCAACCCATAGTGTCCCAGAATGTGTCGAAATTTTCAGGAATCTCAGAAGCTCTAAATTTGGGTAAGGGTTAGCTAGCATAGATGGAGCAAAAGATCTTGCATTTTATTTGACTCCCACAGCAATTACATGGCTTCGAGTTGTTGGTACCCAAA